TGTTGTTGTTGTTGTTGTTGTTGTTGTTGTTGTTGTTGTTGTTGTTGTTGTTGCTATAGTTTTTGTTGTTGTTGTTGTTACTTATACAACAATGCACGTGCTTTCTCCCCTTTAGTCCGATGCCACCCAGCTGTTAGGGGCGGCTCGCGGATTTAAAAAGTGGGCGTGCACAATTAATGTTGAAGATAATCAAGGCCATGGTTAATGACATTGTTTTCTTCCTCCTACCTGTTTGACACAGACAAATTATTGTTGTTTCTTTTTTTCTGTTGTTTTAGTAAGGCGCTTGCAAAACAATTAGGTTATATAAGTGCCGAAGATTAGAAGTGCTACAAGAGAGTAACAAACACAAATACAGAGGAGAGATAAGGACGATACATGGTTGATAGGAAAGAAGGAGCAAATCACATCAGAGCACCCACCAACCACCCACAAGACAAAACAAAAACTAGAGTATAGGCCTCTTTGTTTTTAAATACAATTATCCAGAATTGATGTTTTCAACTATGACTTTTTTTGCGGGGGGGGTAAGTATTTTACGGCCCTCTCAACTGCATACGGTCATTGAGCGCGAGGGACACACCAAACATTTTCAGTTGGTTGGAAATTTTGAATTTTGCCCGGGTAGCGTCCGAAGCCTACTCTTGTCGATTTTTCGACCACCAAGGCATCTTTAACGTGCGCAACCGGCACACAGGACCTCCTATATTGTTCGCCCATGTCCTAGAAGTCTATAGATCTTACCTACCATAAGATCAGGGTTGTGGCTGAAAGACAACAGTAATAAGGAGCCAAAGAGAAGCAGTAGAAAGGCTGTAGAAAGAGTCTGTGGCCCAGAGGGGAGAGGGGGCAAAGGAGGTGAGGGGGGCAGGGGCAGAAAGTGGAGACGAAAGCAGACGCAGAACATTGCTAGAGACCAGGAAAGGGGGTGAAAGGAGGCAATTTTAGAGAATACATGTTTTCGTAGCAACCCGGATTCGAACCCGGGACCTTTGAATGAGAGGCGAACACCTTACCCTCCAGGCCACGAGAGCTCCCATCAACTATGATTGAGATCCTGCTAGATCTAGTTTAGTTTTAGTAAGGTTTTACGGCGCTCGCAACTGCATTAGGTCATATGAGAGCCAAGGGATGGATGTCAACAGAGAAGTACAAACGGGGAGTAATGCTTACTCTGCTATCCTCTCTAACCTCAACAGCACAAAGTCTGCTTCGACTATCAAGGCACACCGGAAATAGCAGTTCACAAGAGAGTAACAAACATACAAAAGAAGTACAGGAAAATGGCCATCGTAAGGATGAGGAAAGTTCCCCCTATTTTGTTCCAGCACAGTATGAGCATGACATTGATAAATCAGCCCATTTACAATTCTACTGTGCATAAGATCATGTAAATATCCCCCTTTAGGAAATAGTTCCCAGCAGCGATGACAACTGTTTTCGTGTTACGGTACCTATCAGGGACGAAGCATCTACATTATCACTGTATCCCTAGTGTCACTTGGGATCGTCGTCACCGTCAAATACACCCACAGAAGGAGGCCCTATATATTTGAATTATAGTAGATTTGCGCCGAGTGCACGACATTTAAAACTATCTCTTCGCAACATAAATAATATCCTCTCCACTCCTTTCGGACCACTCTCATAAGCACTGATTTTGTAGCTAATGATTGGATTCGTAGAGTCTACCTTAAAAAGGTGAGGGGGTGGGAGGGAGCTGACACCTAATATTCTCATGGCTGCTGTGAGTGATTTGAGGGGGGGGGGGGGTTCCATCTATTTTTTATCGCACTATGATCAGGTCATCAGATGTTTCCTAGCCACAAAAAGCTAGACAAAGACAACCATATTCGGAACCAATTAAATTGCTAAAACATAATTTATAGTAAGTTGGTCTACATTGCTGAAGAAACAGAGTTGTCCAACGAATGTTTCCTGGTATGAGTATGAGCATGCTTGCCTGTATTTGTTATTTGTAAGGCCTTCTAAATTGTTGCCACCATTTGTTTATGCATTGTGCGAGCTGTGACTGTGGGTAGTGAAGGGTTCACGAGCTTGACCCCCCCCCCCCCTCCTCACCCCCAACACTATCCCAAAGCAAATGAAAATAGGGAAATAAGCAGTTGAAACTGTTATAAGCGCACGCACGAAACATAGGGTGATCAACGTGGCGGCTTGCTCGTTTATCCAATCACTGTTGACGCCGCTTACAGCTACAGTCACCTTACAGCCAAGCATTAATGTCTTCAGGGCTCAGCAAAGGACGAGCCCGTTCCCACGGCCCCTCCTTAATGAAACCCCTGTCAAAAAAAGGTAGAAAACTTTTTTTTTAAATAACACTGCACAGAGGGCTCAAGCTCTCCAAGCCCAGACAATGGGGTGAAAGTTTATGACACAGTTACCTTTGCGCCCATTGGACCTTTGTTAAAGTGTGTTCTCGTTCTACTTTCCTCGACTACACACTACACGGCCTAATTCAGCTCATAGACGATACAATATGTAGGGAGTGCTGCTGTGTTTACATGTTTGTGTATGGACCGCTGAGATTTCACAGCTATTAATAACATCAAACCATCAGATGAAAATTAATAAGGGTAGAGAAAATTTGGAGGTGAAACGTCTTCGTTCCCACCACCCAGAAGAATTTAACGTAGAACAAAGAGATGGAAGACAAAGGTGACTCTTCTCGTTTGTTTGTGTTTTTGGTTGTTGTTTTGTTTGTTTTTTTGTTTGTTGTTGGGTTTTTTTGTAAGTGTTTTACGGCGCTCGCAACTGCATAACGTCATATGAGCGCGCGGGACTCATTAAACTTGCTTCAGTTGATAGGAAATTTTGAATTTTGCCCGGGTGGCGGCCGAAGCCTACTCTTATCGATTTTAGACCACCAAGGAATCTTTAACGTGCGCAACTTGCACCCAGGCCCTCTGAGATATTTTGCCCTTGTACGAGAAGGCTAAGTGACGTGTAGATCTTTCCTACCAGATGATCAGGGGTCTGGCTGAAAGACAGCATAGAAGTCAGGAGCCCAGAGGAGGGGGCAAAGGAGGTGAGGGGCGGGGGAAGAAAGTGGAGACGAAAGGTTTTTTGTTGTTTTTTGTGCTTATTTTTGTCTTTTTTTAGAGAGAAAAAAAAAGGGGGGGGGGAGGGCATTATCTTCCAACTGAAATACTGGGGTGATAAAAAAAAAAAGACTTTAAAAGGGAGCTTCTCTCTCAAATAAAATTGATTTAAAAGCAACAGAACGCATAACATTTTTCAGCATTATATTTGTTGCCGTTCAAGGTAACTCTCTTTTACACACGGGTATGCAGGGGGGGACACTTTGATCCGCAGACCTCACTTTTTCACACTGTTTCTGTAGGCCTACTTTGAGTGTGCATATATGTGTGTTTGTTTGTGTGTGTGTGTGTGTCTCTCTCTCTCTCTCTGTGGCTGTATGTTTGTGTTATGTTAATCGTTGTTTCTGTTGTTATTTGGGGGCACTAGGCCTACACAGAGTACCGTACAGCCATCCCCAAAATAATGTAATTGTTGCAGTGGTGAAATGGTGAAGTCAGCGATACACGGAATTCACAATTCATGAGCATGCGCATGCCTCTATAAGGAAATAGGCATCAATATGGCGGACCAAGACCATCTCTCCGACGCTGATCTTGTTGCCGAACTGCAGAATTATGGAGAAAGTATAGGGTTGCCCCTTAAAGCTGGAAAAAGATCTATACTCGTGAAGAAACTGAATCATTTCAAAGCTAGAGCCAAGCTTCAGGATGGTTCTGCGAGCAAAACGGTAAAACCGGTGTCGAGAGCTGCTTCCAGGCCGGCTGTGGCGCGAACACCGGGCAGTTTTGGTGAAGGTTCTGCATCCTCGTCATTATCAAACAATAATAAAAGACCTTCCCTTTCTAGATCGTATGAGGACAGTCCTCGAACACGCTCTCGAACAAGTCCCCCTCAACTTGATACCTTAAGTTCAGATGACAGTGACACTGAACCAGTGTCAAGTCGTGCTCCCCACCACCAGCGTACAGACCCGCAACTCTTACCTGATCGAAAACGTGGTTCACAGTTTGCGGATAGCATACTTAGGACAATAAGGCGACGCACAGGGGACCAATTGCCAACAAGACAAAGTGCAAGAATAAGCAATGAGGTCTTTGAATTAAGTGCTGAGAGAGAAAGGTCAAAGCTGGATCATTCTTTTGGTGGAGGTCATGATGACTCTAGATTCAGAAGTTTGGAAGATGAAGAAATACCAGTCCCATCTCCTGCTCGATCAAGACTTTATCCAAATATTAAGAAGTTCACATCATTCTTGTCCAATTCACATGACAATGATAATAATTTTGAGTCTTCAGACTCTGACCTTGATGCCAGCACGTATGAAGTGGAAAATAAATCTATTAATACTTCGTTTCCATCTCATAATTTTTCTGCCAGAGGGAGTTACCTTGGGTCCCCCTCCAGCTCACCTTCACTTGAATCTTTTCGGCACCGGGTGTTGCCTCGTAGGAGGTTCAGTGGGACACCCAGAGTGCAGCAGTATAAGTCCGCCTTCACAGAGCACCTGCCACATTTCCTTATTGCTGTTGCAATGTTGTTCTTTATTGTGTTGTCAGTCACGTATGCTGTGAATCACAGAGATATGTTCTTCTCATGGCTTGCCTCAAACAATATTGGTAAGTATTTGAATCCTTTTTTGATGATTATTTTGAATTAAATCATGATAGTTTTCTTTACTGTGTCACTTGATTTTTAACTGATGCATCTAGATCTAGATCTAGATCTCTACTTTTTACAGTACAGGTTAGAGTTTTCAGTGAGTCATCATTATAAAGGCTATATGTTGATCAACCTAGGTAGAGTGATTGTCATCGACAGCACAGACCTTGGAAATGCCATGTTTGTGGCCCATTTCAGTTTTTTGAAAGAAACAGAAACAGGCAAAAGAGTGTGCACTGTGGTCTGCGCAAGACTGGAAAACTGAAAAAGCTCAACGGAATGTCTACGTACACGATAACCGGGCACCTAGTCTCAGTATCTACGAACACGATAACCGGAATGAAAATAAATCCATATTTATCCTGTGCTGTCACTTGCTGAAAAAAAATAAAGTTATATATAATAATAAGCATCTTGTCGGACTCACCAACGTGACCGGTCTGTGAACCTGTTCATTCGCATCACATTCACATTCATTGTGAATGTGAGGACCGGTTGGGGTCACAATAGTTCATCCAAAGTCTGTACTCTGCAAAATATAGGGCTTGGGAATCGGGGATTGATTTTTTTCCAAAGGTACAGTCGGGGGAGGAGTGGGGATAAAGGCAACACCGGATGACAAAAACTGAACTTGGAGTTCTGAACTGCCCGGTTACCGTGTACGTGACACTGAGACTACGTGCCCGGTTGCCGGTTACTGTGTACGTAGACACTGAGGCTAGGTGCCCGGTTACCGTGTACGCAGACACTCCGAAAGCTCAATACCAACCCGTTGCAATGAATTATAAAATCATGATGAAACACCGCGTGCTGTCACATGCTTATGTAAGCATGTTTGGCAGAGACAACAGGCCTATATAAGTTGAGTACAAGTTACAAGTACAGGAGTGCACTTGCCAATTGATGTCTGATAAACGCAGGCGAACAGTTTTCTGGCAATGCCTCTCTGGCTGGCCGGCCATGGACACACTTGTGTGTCCTCATGGCTCATTTTTCAGTTTGATGATTTTAGTGTTACTTTTGAAGGTTCTTGTGAAGATTTAACAATATATAACCTTTGCAATTCTCGGGAGGAGTTCCACAAAGGGTTGGCACTTTTCCCCGCTCAAAACATCCCCTCTTTTGTGTGTTGTTGGCCGGACGGCCCTCTACTGAACTCCTTCCCAATGCTTTTTGGTGCAGAGCACTATTTTGGCTAATATAGTGGTAGTTTTCTTGCAAAGAGAAAGTAGAAGGAAAACAAAATGAGGGAGTGCCAGTCTAGCCGTACTTAGATCTAGGTTTGGCCCTATCGACTCAAGCCTGTTAAGTTCACAGGTCTCATTAGATCTAGATCTAGTAATTATTCAGGTTCAAATACATGCAAGTCAGTAAGGCACCTTTTGGTTTTGTATGAAATACAAATACTTTAGGCATTGCAAACTAAAAATTTCATTTACAATTCAGCATTCAATATTAAGTACGGCTAGCCTGACAGTCTAGCCGTCCTTAAGTACGGCTAGCTTGGCTGTCTACCCGTACTTAAAGACCGCTAGTCTAGCCGTACTTATCTTAGGCCCTATTAACATTAGAAAACAGGTTTAAAATACATGCACTGTCATTAAGGCACCTGATTTCGTCTCAAATACACAAATACTTTAGGTACTGAACACTAAAAATGTATATTTACAATTCAGTAGGCCTTCTATTTTTTGTAAATGGTCAGTCTAGCCATCATATTAAGAATAAGTACGGCTAGACTGCGAGTCTAGCCGTACTTAAGTACGGCTAGACTGTCAGTCTAGCCGTCACCGTCATTAAGTACAGCTAGCCTCTTCCTTCTTTTTTCTTTTAGTTTACCTGGGTTGTTGTTTTTTTTCAGAGTAACTGTTTTTTTGTTTAGCAGACTCCACGATACGATGATAGTACTGTTATTAGTTTTAGTGTTTCTACACTAAGCCTTAGTGAGTCAGTGTTAATACTTGAGAATTTAAGTTTGCTGTCAGATTTCATATTATATGACATTCAATTTTTATGTAGTTTTCTCTTCATTTCTCAAGGATCTGATGATGAATTGTTGCTGTGTCCTGGAGGTCTTCCTGGAGAGGTAGGATGTCTATCATTTCTACATGATATATAGAAATATTTTTATAGAAATTTTTTTTTTATAGAGTACAGAGTCACTTCTTATTCCCTCATTTATTTTAGTTTTCTTTTCGTCTCTGTCTGTAATTTGAATATATGACCAAAGACAAAACCGAGTGCTCATTTCATTACATCTCTATGTTGATGTTTTCTGTAACATTTTTTAAAATGTTGTAAAGCACCCACTTCTTGGGGGGGGGGGGGGGGGGGGTTCTAATCAAATGAGACTGTTGTGTATAACAAGGGAGCAAATATTGATGCATCTTATGTTTGGTTTTTAGGGTAAAAAGAGTAGAATTATTTTTGTTCATTTTAAATTTCTCATTGGCTATATTACCTTTAATAATTTATAATGAACCTAGTGCCACTGCTCTGCTTTAAAAATAAAAGCATGTTAGTAATTATATTTTCATATTGTCGTATGATAATGAATGTGCTTTTATTAATATTAAAAGTGTGTTAATTTTTGTTCCAGAAATGCTATACAAGAGGCGAAATAGACCGAGCGCTTGGCTACATTAAAACTCTGTTCTCTCAACTCAGTGTCAAGAAAGGTACTCTTTCCAACTGAATGTCATAGTAATGTATGTCTGTTGATTGATTGGGATATAGTGAATTTGATTGTATTGGATGAAAGTTCAAAAGTTGAAATTCTAGATGACACTGAGATTGTCTTGCAATGACAAAAAGAATGATTGCCTCAATCCAAGGTTGTAAAGTACAATAATTTGACATGCTAATAAGCAGCATACTGATTTATTTTTATATTAAAAGTGTTTGGTTTGTTAAGTATGTGCACATATTGTGGTTGTATGTATAAGTGTGGCAGGGAGAAAAACAGAGAGGTGTTACTTATAACATATATTGTGTCTTATTACTGTGTTTGGTGTGGATGTCTGTATAACGTATGTCACTGTCAGTTGCTGCAGGAAAAGTGTTTGACAAAGAAATGTAGCGTACATTCTTTTTAAACTTATGTTACCTGTAAATATGTTTTCTTTATAAATATTAGTAAAGTATTTAGCACAGAAATGTGTGTTCAAATTCAAGGTCAAGAAGGTGACTGTTTCTTGTAACAGTTTGTTTCTATTTGTTTTTCAGGTCAAGTATTGTGTGAAATGGAAAGCCCTGGATTTGACACTATGGCTGCCTCTCAATTAGAGGGCAAGATACAGCGAGAAAGCATTTCAGAATCTGTAAGTTTGTGCTTTTAGAATACTGTAGGCAGAATCCTTTACTGGCACACAGTGGTAGCTTAGTACTTTGTTTGTCTTACCACAGTCATTTAAACTCTGGAGTTAGAAAAGGGACAAACATCACTACACTTATATCATTCTTTTTGGTATAAAACAATCCTCTTCAGAGGTACTTCCCCATAGGCCAGGCCAACTTGCAGTTTTCTTTTTCTGCTAACACTTGAGGCGCTTTTATTTTGAACACACAAGTTTAAAGGGGGGGGGGGGGGGG